CATACACCTTCCTCGTTAATCAACTTAAAAACCACTTACTCAAGAGACTTGTTTTGTATTTCCAAGTTATGAACCCCTAAACCTCCCTGATCCTTAAGTTGACAAATGATATCCTATCTAGTAAGTCTATACTTTTTTTTATGGTCATCCCCTTGCCAAAAGAACCATGATCTATAATAATCAATTTTTTGAAGAACCCCTTTCGGTATCTCAAAAAAAGATATCATAAACATAGCTAAACTTGAAAGTACAGAGTTAATCAAAACCAGTCTACCCCCAACAGATAAATGTTTTCCTTTCCAACTACTAAGTTTTTTCTCAATTCTTTTCTCAATCATTTTCCAATCTCTATTATTCAGTTTTCTAACATGCATTGGTATACCAAGATATTTAACAGGGAGAGAGCCAAACTTACAACCAAAGATGTTAGAATACTCATCATAATATTCCTTTGCCTGACCAAAACAAAATAATTCACTCTTATGAAAATTTATTTTCAAGCCAGACAACTTTTCAAACACAGATAAAATCAATTTAAGATTCTTCGCTTGTTGTAAGTCATATTCCAAAAAAATGATGGTATCATCTGCATACTGTAAAATAAATAAACCATCATCCACTAGGTGAGGGACTACCCCATTCAATGAACCAGCATCTTTCGCCCTCTTAATTAATAAAGTAAGCATATCTGCTACTATATTAAAAAGAACTGGAGATAAATGATCTCCTTGCCTTAGACCTTTGTAAGTTTAAAAATTATTACCGGTCTGATCATTTACTCTAATACCAACATGTCCCACTCGAATAAAAGAAGTTATCCACTCACACCATTTAGGAGAAAAACCTTTCATTCTGAGCGTCTGTTATACAAAAGACCATTTAACCATGTCATAAGCTTTTTCAAAATCGATCTTAAAAATCACATCACTTTTATTTTTGCGATGTAATTCATGCATAGTTTCATGCAAAATAACAACACCTTCCATAATATTTCTCCCAGGTATAAAAGCAGTTTGAGTAGGGCTAATCACCTTTTGAGCAACACTCATTATTCTATTCGTAGCAACTTTGGTAAAGATCTTAAAACTAACATTAAGTAAGCAGATAGGCCTATATTGTTGAATTTTCATGGCCTCAGCACACTTAGGCAAAAGAATAATAGTACCAAAGTTAAGGGAGAATAAAGACAAAGTACCATTATGAAAATCTCTGAAAAGATCCAACATATCCTTAATGACATTCCAAAAGACTTGATAAAACTCAGCAGGAAATCCATCAGGACCCGGAGCTTTATTATGTTCCATTTGGAAAATAGCCTCTTTAATTTCCTTTTTAGTGAATTCTTGTATTAAAGCTTCATTCTCTAATTGAGATACTTGTGGGATGTCCACAAAATTATTTTCATCAAACTGGAGATCAGAATCATCAGGAGGACCAAAGAGGCCTTTATAATAAGTGGTAATATGTGATTTTAGATTTGCATCACCATTTATCAATTGATCCCCATCTTGAAGTTGAAAAATTCTGGTTTTTCTATGTTTGCCATTAGCAACCAAATGAAAATACTTTGTATTTGAATCACCCTCCAAAATATCCTTAGTTTTAGCCCTTTGATACCACTTAATTTCTTCTTCTCTCATAAGAGTAGATAATCTATTTCTACAAAACCATCTAAAATCAATTTCCTCCTGAGTTAGAAGAACAGATTCAGCCTTTTTATCCAACAAATTCAACCTATCCAAAATCTCCTTTTTTTTTTCTTTTTTTATACATACCACTCTGTATGTCTTCATAGAGGAGAAAAAGAAGGCTTTGTTGACGATGAGTGAATGAAATATGAATGAGTGAGCCGTATATCTTCATACTCCTACATTGGATCCACCATTCCAACTTGGCGAATGGCAAATTGGCAAGTTGGGAAGGCAGCATAGAATGTGCATCATTTAGCGGCCAGAGCGTCCATCTGGGACACAGCGGGATTGTCATGTGTGACGTCCAAGCTTCGCTTAGTCCCCATCATTAACGTACGGTCAGGGCATTCAAGGACCGGAAACGAGAGAGAAGAACACAAGGGGTTAGTAACCAAAAGAGTAATACTACTCCAGTATACAACCAAACTGTCTTCGCAGCCATACGATACGAAGCCAATTTAAGACTGGAAGCTGGGCAGAAAGTTATGGGCGTTAAATTGAGCTCAACTTGACGACGTACACCTTCGACTAAACTGGACATCCGGCTGTGGAAAACACAAGAAATGGACGTGGAAGAGTCCGGGTTTTGGACGAGCGACTCCACTGCAAAAATCCATCTCGCGGCTGTGCAACCAGAAGCTAGGAATCAGTCCACTGGTAGTCATGAACCTGGATTCTTCCTAGCTAGTGCTCAAATATTCCCATCCTCAACGGAGTTTACCAACGATCTCTTCCAGATTCACGTAATCACGTGCCTTCGACTCAGTAATACCAGTACTACTCCCACCGTACTAGTAAAGAAAGTCGTTTAGAACCATATTTAAATCAAACCTTGGGAATATAAATCATGAATAACTTTCGAGTTGTTGAGTTTGAAAATATAAAAATTATATGAATAGATTTGTCTTGAAAAATACTTTCATAAAAGTATACATATATCACTTTTCAATAAATATTTTTATAGAAACCAGAAGTCAAAGTTGTGTTTTAGAGACCGTGTCGCTGTCCTAAACGACTTACTTTACGAGTACGGATGGAGTACTATACAGTAAATCCATTCTTTCTTGTCCATTTTTGTTTCTGTTATTCAGTAAAGCTCCACTATTACCAAGATGACACGGAAATCATAAAGTAGGACTAGTGGTAGTTGGACTAGTTGGAGCAATAAGCAAGCCGTATATAGTAACTAATGTTAGTAGGAGTTGGATGCAATATACACTACAGGAAGGACAGTACTAGTATACTATTGCACGGATGACATAAATCACACAGATCACGCCAATGGTCGTAGCACAAAAGTGGTAGAACAAGCGATAGTGGAAGCTTTACAGCCATACTGCCTCACCTCTCTGAGATGAATCCAGTAAAGATATTGGATGCTAGGGACCATGCATCGCTCTCTACGCTTGTTAGGCTCATTTCTATAGACTATAAGTTGTATCCCCATTTGGTAGGGAGAAAGGGAATTTCGGATGGTTGTTATCCTTATCGGAAGATTTCCTGTGGAGTACTATTGGAACCCCATGGTTTTATTTTCTGAATTCCTATGTAATGGACCATTCCAAATGGATTATGGTGGAAATTTCAGTGATGATATACATCATATGAAACACCATGCTTCTTGCAACCTAAGTTTTCCTTCTGTCGCATCCAATTCCAAACACTTTCTTGTTACAGCTTCATCGCTTTTTTCATATTAGCATACTCCCTCCGGTTCTTTTTGTTTTGACGTTGGCTAGATTACTGCATTTTTCCTGTTCCTGGCCTTGTAGTTTCCTGCAGTACAGAAAGGCTCTGAATGGTTTCTCTCCCCTTCAAGTAATTGAGAGAGACACGTTTATCTTTGCCTCAAGTGATTGACAATGCTTTCTTAGGAACAAAAAAATCTGGCGAAGTAAACACTTTACCTACTTCCTAGTTCCTACTACTGCAGAAAGGAGCAAGAACATAAGGATATTCATATTCTATATACATTTTAGAAAGAAGTTGCAATTTCAACAAAAGTTTTTTTATTGCATTTTGCCAAGATGTAGCATCCCAATGGTGAAGCGATAAAGGTCTCGCCTAACTTAGATTTATTTTGGCAGGCAGTTTATAGAATCTTTGGTTCAGAATAAGACAGCTTCTGAGATAAGCCATGCCATTGTTTGGCAAGAAATAGATTATACAAAGGAAAAAGTTCCAAAAGATAATCTAGTGCTCTCTCTTGAGAAAAGTCTCACTTTTACGGACCAAAGGAAAGTCACCATCCAATCACATGTGGCTTGTTCCAGTAAGCTATCTGAAGATTCTCACCGAAACACCAGCAAAAGGAATTTTTATAAATTACACAGAGCTTTCAATCAGGAATTTCCCCCCTTTTTTTAAAAAAAAAAAGAGGACAGCATTCGAGAAATTTGCTCAAAGTATGCGGCAAATCAAGTATATCCTTCAGCTGTAATGTCTTTTTCCAAAGGCCAAAACGAAAAAAAAAGGACTATCTCTGATCAGCTGTGTGGTGTCAATGACCTTGTTGCTTCTTTTTCCAACGCCTATATCTCAGACTATTTTGGGTTCGTTGCATTTGTTCGCTAGCTGTTCATGGAATACATATTAAACCGTAAGCGCTGCAAAGAAAAAATTGCATCACCAACTGCGAAGAGAACCAGCTCCTTGCCATTGGATGGTATGGTAGACCGAGATGGCTTTGATTTTTCTTTTGGAGCGCAGTACGCGGTCTTGTGCTGTAACTGTAAACAATCGAGCCCCATGTGCACGGCTTTGCGTCGATCTAGGCCATCCGTTCCACGATCCATGGCTAGGAACGAACGCTTCGTCAGTCTCGCGTGCTCGCATATTCTACTCCTGCAAAATTTCCCATCCAGATTCGTTGCACCGAATTGACCACCAATAGCATATCTGGCGAGCCTGAATTCAGTGCATCAAATCATCAAATGGGTCATTGAGTGTAAGGCAAGGGTAGCACTCTCGTGTGTTTATCGCTTCCTCTTGTTTCTGTCCTCACCACAAGTGATTCTCTTTGCCACAATCGTCGGTTCCTCATGAAGGCTGGACACAAATTAGTTGGCAAAATACAGAAGGCTGGACACAGAGACACACCAGCACGAGTGTGAAATGAACAGGCTTCCGGGCTTTAGGGGTCCCTGAAAGTACAGGGGCAACTTTATTGACCAGTGTGACCAGGAAAGGGCAATCTTCTAGGCCCATTTGGGCCACCCCTCTCTCAATCATTTGGGCTGTCCATCTGAACCATCTATTCAAGCAGTCCCTGGCTGAAAGCTTTCCATCACAAAGAAGGGGCGAAAACCATCAGAAAAACTCGAAACTTTCTGCTGTTGAGGCACCGACAGGCCAGAAACAATAGTCATGGAGGTGGACTTAAAAGTGTATTTTAGCAGTTCCAACAGACACATCACCATGTTGCCAACTCGGCAACTCAATACACCAGACGATGAACACCGGGTTTAGTCCCCACGAATTACAGGTGCGGTTCATGATAGGTTCAATCAAAATGTTTTAGCTGCCAGAATCCTGCAGGCATTGCGCGGCTACAGAGCTGAAGGATACTTCTTAGCCTGCTGACGAACGCGTTTCCTGTACTCCTCCATGTCCTGCAAATGACAGCCAATGGGACAGAAGAACATGTTTGTTAAGCGCACGGCCAATTCAGAGTTAAGGAATTTTGTCTCTACTTTGTTTTTCATTTTTATGGAAGTGCATGTCATAACTAAACCTTCCTATAAAGCTCATAGCTTATATTCTGTGCAGCAGAGTTAGGGTTTGGATCATCAAACAATTCCTGGATGCCTATAAGAATTTGCCTCACTGTAATTGAAGGTTTCCATGCCTGAAAAAATAAATCATGGATCAGGGAGGATAATATGATGGTGTATACATGTTGAAAAGAACATATTCACTCAGTTTCAGCTTACGGTACTCAAGATTGATAGGCATACTGCCCCAGAGTCATAGACATTGATGTGGAAGAAACCCGATGGGAACTTGCAAGAAGGAGCGTTGGTTGGATAGTCTTCAGTGAATTGCATAGTAAGTGGGAAATATCCACCCTCCCAATCAGTCTGTAGGAAGAAAATAACTTTAACACATAATCTTACTTTATGGCACGATAGTTATAGAAACATAATCTTATTTCATGCCAGAGTCATTTTGGAAATCAATGGAGAGTGAGCAGAGTACCAAATTTTGCTGTAGAGGAATAACATAAGACTACACTATATATATGCACAAGCCAATAATTCATAAGATAACAAAACAGTGGCATATAATAGGTTCTAACAAGACAAGAATTCATCAGTATGTGAAATTTTATTTTGCACAAACTCTTATGGTATCGAAAAAAAAGTAGTAGTGTTTGATGCCCTCATAGAGGAATAAGAGGAGTAACCAGTACCTTGACAGGCTAAAGCTTTAGAGAGGGAAACAATCCAGCATTAGTTAAGGTTGTTGCATAAGTGAAATGAAACAGATTGGCAAGTTTATGGCAATAACTATTGAACTATGAACCAGTAAAAGTAGAGATTGCGGAAAAACTACGGCAGAAGACTAATTACTGTAGCATACCGTCATTTCCTTTCAGTAAGCTATTATCATATTGTTGACAGAAGAAAAACATCCTAAATAGGAGTAGTATATTTAAAAGAAATAGTGAAAGGACACTTTTCTAATCTTTCTTAAAAATGTCAATGGCTCAGGAAAACTCCTTTGGCCCAGCTATTCCACAGGGCAATAATATTCAGAAACAATATAGATTTGCAGGTTCGGACTACTGTTCATCCCGTAATGCTTCTCATCCATAAGGAGCCATAGTTACCATCAGGTCAGATCATTTGATATGATAAGGCCTGACTTCTTCATTGTGTTTAACGTCTATTGAGAACAAATTATGCAGACCAAATAGTGCAAGGAGCAAACGTTGCCAAGCAGTACCAATAGAAGTGCCAGTTACCTGACTTAAAGATGTATATGCTTTCATATGAACTAGATATAGATATGAGTTTCCTCAAGGGTCTAGAACATATTATGCCAATTTAGAGGATCCAACGACCACCAACGTCCAGAGCAAGAATCGAACGGTCCTTGTTTCTTTGATGACGTGGCACATTAATTTTGCAAGAAAGATTAGTTCTTTCACTACTTTAGATAAATTTTGGCTTGTTTATTTCAGATACAGAGGTCTGCTGCCAGACGAAAGATAACACCTATTGAGATTAAATGTGACAAAATGGATAATTTGGAACCTTTCAACTGTTATAATGAGATTTATCCATTTCCGAGCCATTTGTCTTAGATCTTGATGTAACACCACAAGTTAAATCAAATGAAATGAAAGTGACAAATGGCCCACTATAGCTATGGCCTAGAGTTTATCTGGTAACATCAGAAATATTCAGAATACAGTGTATTGTTAAACAAATCATAGCACTGCATTAAGCAACCAACGGAGCAAGAGAGCATGCAGATTCATTCAAGCGTCCAGGACCAGGTCCTGTAAAGTGTAAACTCTACTTATATCAAATCACACGGTTGCGTTACAAGAGGGCCAGAGGGGCATAAATCAGTTTACAGCTTTGCATGATAGTAGCAATGGTTGCAAAACCCTTGCAGCAATTCCAAAACCCACTATGCCGGTGATTTCCCTATTCCCGAGTGGCTAGATAAACCAGTACAGATTACAGACTACTCGATCGTGGGCATATCTTAGTATTCAACTCAAGAATCGAACTGACCACTAAATATAGATCAAACCAAAATTAACATGCTAGTTCAGCCAAGAATAATAGCATGCACAAGGAACAGCCAAGTGCCAAAAAAAAAAAGGCTTCTTTCGATGTTTCTTACCCCTTCTTTGCCGGGGATGATGCATCGCCAGACCATGAGGTTGACGGACCCATCCGGCAGGGTCTCCGGCTTGGCCACGAAGCCCTGAAACCAACCAAACAAAAGAAGCAGCAAACGTCCCCATCACTACTAGTAAAAACAAAGAGGGAAAGAAAGAAAGAAAAAAACCTAGCAAAAGACCGAATAAATTAGCCCGGACAGATCAGTATAGCTAGTTGCGGGCGCGCACATGGGGGTGGTTCTTGCGCCACGCCTTGCGCTCCTCGGCGAGGCGGGCGCGGGCGATGCCTCCTCCGGATGCCATCCAATTCCAATCTAAACCAGTGAATGCGCTCTACAGGGGGGGTCGGTCGGCTGCGGGGGTTGCCGCTGCTTCCTCTTCTTCCAAGGCCCTCTCGTGGGATTCGCTGTCTCGTGGGCGGCGCCGGGAGGCTCGCCTCTTGGGGTTCCTCTCCAAGATGAGGAGGAAGAACCGAACAGGCCAAGGCTTACTTCCGAAGCTGCCAATGCAATGTTTGCCAGTCCAGTTTATTCATTTCCGTTCCTTTTACCTCGTTTTTTTTGCAATCAGTTCCTTTATCGTCTTAGAGTAGGTACAATAGTAGACTATAAGACAGCTATAAATATATTTTAAAATGAAAAGAAAGAGAGAGAAAAGCAGCGGGCTATAAATCTGTAGCCAGCTGCAGCACTGACTCCAAGACGTAATGTGTGTATGACAGGTGGGACCGGATATTAATAGTATAGTAAGCAACTATTGTATGAATTAGCTATTGCATTGGCTATAGATGATTTGGAGCCAGTAGTGGGCTATACTATTAAACTTGTTCTAACATAACTGCAAGACTACATTCTTCACTGATTTATGGGACCCACTACCGATGGTCCACATGTCAGCGATGATGCTATGATGACGTTATCACGTTACCTCAGAGGAACTGGTTTCCGCTACGATCACTAACCTAATAAAAAAATCATATTTTATTTGTCAATTTGTTGGTTGCTCTGCCTCTTCCCGCTAATTGTAGTTGTGTTTAACCGTCGTAGTAGTCTCTTCCTTTTTTCTTAGTTTTTTTTTCTCTTTTTCCTTAGCATAAGTCGGTCTAGTTGATTGCGTTGTGTAACAAACACCTTTTTCTTTTAATATATTTATATGCAATTCTCGTAAAAAAATTATCGATTTGTTACAGTGTTTTATAGGTATAGATATATCACAAATTAAACAAAGATATTGAGGGAACTTAAAAATAGGATTGCAACTGTTGTTCTCCCTCTCCACGTAAATTTATTGGAGTAGGTCTATTTGCTCATGTAAAGAGTAGTGGCTATTAACCATAGTGGACGATAATTCTCACGTCACATCTATCTTGTAACAAGGTTTCAAATTTTGTGCAACACTAAAATGTGATATCTACATAAAAAGGGACAAATGCGAGCAACATTTGGAAATTTTTATTAGAGAATGAAAATGAAAAATGACAATATAGAACTAAAAAATGAGCTTGCAACAACAAAATTGTCATTGGTGTTGTAACAAAACCAAATTTGATGGTACCGTCGATCTTATACTTTGTGGATAGTATTGTAGCATTGAGAGAGAACACCACCACCTTGTTATCTTCACTACTTGGTTGAGATTTAAGTGTAAGTTTGTTTCATGCTTTCTATTCGTAACTACTCGTCTACTCCTTAATCCCCCCAAAAAAACCAATATCCTATAAATCATTAATTTCTATTAATGCCATGTATGGATTGAGGTCATCATGATCTTTTAAGGCATTGCCATATATTCGAATCATTCCTTACCAAAGAGGGAGGCGATGGCTAGTGACACGTTTCCATAAGACATGGGAAGGAGGTTCGCTTTATAGAGATTATAAATAAACTGTAGAGAGATGTGAAGGGAGAGGAGTTCGACTAGTCAGGTTTCTAGAATGAAATCTGTTCATCCGGGTTCAAATCTAAGTTCTTTCAAGGATGCTCATATTTACCGTTATTATTTTTTTAGAGTAAATTTCACAATACTACATGTTTTATGGTTCAAGTTGGAGAAAACCACACACATTTTGACACTTGACACTTAAGTACATATATTTTGGTAGTTTAGTTTCACGAAACCATACTATCGATGAATGGATTCACCCGTGAGATGACGTGGTTGCTCCACCTAGGATGATGACGTGGTATATCCTATTAATTTCGTGAGATGGCTGGTAATAGGATATCATGTCCTCGTCCTATGTGAAAGAGCCACATCATCTCGCGGGTGAATCCGTTCATTGATAGTGTGGTTTTGTGAAACTACACTACCAAAATATATGTACTTAAGTACCAAGTGTTAAAGTGTATGTGGTTTTCTGCAACTTAGACCATAAAACGTGTAGTTTTATGAAATTTACTCTTTTTTTATAATAGACGACGTACACATTAATAAAAAGACACATGTGGCAATTTTTTATGTGTTTTATAGGGATGGATATCCGCGTGCACGTTAATAAAGACGAGTGTAGACATGTGTACTATATGTGAGGGTCGCGTTTGTACTACGCTTCTTTTACGCAAATGGATGTATGCAGAATATACTGTTTGGGCTTTGAAGTGTATCGGGCTTAATTTGAAGTTGGGCCGTACGGTCTGGAGCCCTCAGAATGTTAGCACTGTTAGCGCTATTCTTCTATTTGAGGTTTTATTATACTCCTTTTCATTGGTATATTTATGACTCGGACTTTGTGAGAAGTGAGAAAGTGGATGAAGAGGTATATTGTACGCTAAGTTCCCTTTCTTATCTTAACTAATTAAAAGATTTGTATTTTTCCTTTCGTCACACCGGATTTTTGTCCGTACGGCAATTTTCGTTCGTCCGCAACATCATCATCACAATCCTACATCATCTCATCACAAATCCAACTCCAAAAAAGAACAAAATCTCAATCCAAATCCAAACACAAATACAAATACAAATACAAATACAAATACAAATACAAATACAAATCGGAATCAAGAAAGATGACTAGAGAAGGAGGAGAGTAGAGCAATTCCCAATCCCGAAACCCAAGATATACCCGGTCGTCGCTCCGTCGCCGCCACACACCTCCACCACCCTAACCGCTGCCGGTGCGCACCTCCTCCAACCTCCCCGCCGCCCGATCTGTGCGGGAGGGGGCCGCTGCCGCCGACGGACGCATCTACCACCCTCCCCGCCGCCGGATCCGTGCGGGGAGAGCTGCCGCTGACTCACTGGATCTGGCGAGGAGCGCGGCGCTAGCGGCACCCCGACGAGGAGGAGTGGCGCCACCGGTGGAGGAGGGCGCGGAGGTGGCAGTGGTGGGGAAGGGGTGCGGAGGCAGTACTGGTGGGGGAGGGGCGCGAGAAGGTGCCGTCGGCCGTCTCCGACGGTGCGCGGAAGACTATGGGGAGATGACGGGGAGGAGCTCTAGGGCAAGGCCGCTCGATGGTGGTGCACTCACCCTCGGGCGAGTGCGCACACCGGCGAGGGGTCATGCGTCGCCGCCGCCGCTTTTCGTCGTTCGCTCTAGCGTCGTCGTGAGGAAAAGGAGGTGTCGCCGGCGGCCGGGAAGGATGGGATTTTGTCCCTCCCAAGTCGGCGATCGAAACCCTAAGATCGGATGGTCGGCACTGGCCGGGCCGAAATCGGCCCAAGTGGAGGCACGTGCGGGACGGCTTCCCCAGCGCAGGCCCAGGGGGAGCGCTCGCACATGCGCATGACGGCCGTGGGTCAACCGGCCACGCCAGGAAAAGTTTGTTCTTGGTCCCTTGGCCGAATAAAAGAAGTTTAATTCTATATCTAACTAATTAAAAAAACATCCTACTTCCATGGAAGTGGTTATAGTAATTTTTTCCTAGCTTTACTAATTTATCATAAAAGGTAGATCTGTCATCTATGTTTGGATTGATTTCTTTGTTAGTGATGAGTTGTAAATTTGTATTTTTTTTCAAAAATATTATTCTTTTAAAGTGCTCATATCACAAAATTTAATCATCTCGTTAAATTTGAGTGTTCCCGGTGCAATACACGGACACTTTGCTAGTCTATAGAAATTTTGTGTAAATTAGTTCTAAGTGCATGTATAAAGATTGAGCCTAATATAACTTCTTAGTTAATACATATTCACTTAGGCAACGTTCGTTCTGGTGAGTTAGGGTGAGAAAGCACATCGTAGTCCGCGCGCACGCTTCCCAAACTACTAAACGGTGCGTTTTTGGCAAAAAAATTTCTATAGGAAATTTGCTTTAAAAAACATATTAATCTATTTTTGAAATTTAAAATAGTTTATACTCAATTAATCATGCGCTAATGGCTCACCTCGTTTTACGTATCTTCCCAATCTTTCTAATCCCCTATCCCTCAAACTCACCCTTAGAGATTATTGAGACACCAAAACATCTTAGTTATTAATGCACCTAAATATTTTTTTATTATTTTCTTTTCCTTTTCTCCACCTCATGCACTGAGTTCTTGTCATACCTAGAAATCATGCTACCGAATTTACTTCCATGACGATGGAGAAAACCCATTAAGGTTATCAATTCAAAACTCAAAAGGAGGCCTAGCGACTAGCGAGCACCAGACCACCAGTGGACCGGAATGGATGAGTTTCACTGAACTACATTGTACCAACCAATGCATGCTCACCAGGATATCATGTGCAGTACATCCTACCTCCAGAAATATATACGACTTAGCAAGATCATACAGGCGTCGAAGAGAGTCGCGAGCATCCATAATTTACCCCCAATTATTTATTTAAAACATACTAGTATTATCACAGGTAAAAAAGAATATGAACCGAAAATCCTAAAATGAGAGCTTAAAAAAAAATCAACTTCAATTGCTTCTTTGCAGTTCTCTGTCACAATGCGGCGCAGTACTCATTCTCGAGGGCGTCCGGCGTGGTGCGCGACCCGCCCGCCGACGGCGCGCGGACGTGCCCGACCATGGACACGCGCAACGCCTCCTCCTCGTACGCCCGCCGCGCCATCTCCGCCACCTCCGACTTGCGCCGCTGGATGCTCAGCACCGCCACCAGGACCAGCCCCAGGAGCACCGTGCCGCCCGCGCCGAGCGCCGCCCCGAAGAGCGCCAGCTTCCACTTGCTCACCTCGCCGGCCTCCGCCACCACGCCGCCGCCGTCGCCTGCTCCGCCCAGGACGAGCGCGAAGTGTCCCTGGTCCCACACGTGGCAGGTGTTGCTCCCGGCCTGCACGTCGGTCACGGTGACAGCTGCCGTTCAAGCGCCACGGGCCATGCAGAGCGGCACGGGCCCCTGGCTGCAGCGCTGGGACCGCCATCGAGAAGTTGACGCGGATGGCCGCGGCCGTGACGAGCACCTCCAGCCTGGCCGTGCCACCCCGCCGCGCCAGGCCGTAGAACGTGAGCCCGAGCACCGGCGACGCGATGCGGTATCCGCCGCTCGCCGCGTACTCGTCGAACACGGACGAGAGGTTGCCCAGGTTGGCGCGCACGGCGAGCAGGTGCGAGGCTTGGCCGCGCACGGCGAGTCCCGGTGGCACGGCGAACTCCCCGAACCGGCGGACTCCGTACCTCCGGAGGCTACCTGCCCGGAAGCGC